CGGTGACTTGGTGCCATGTAGTAGCGGCGTCGTTCCGTCTCTTCGCCCCCTTACATTTAAAACACAGCACGTTAGAGCTTCCCATGTTTGCCAGGAACCGAGAGTTTACTGGAGCCGTGACCAACTTGCTGGTTTTCCCAGCCTCAGCCCTTAGGGTTCACTGTAAAAATTGGAGACTCTTCTTGGAGTAGCAGTCTCCTCTTGCTGTTAGAGGCCTCCTGAAGTCAGAAACGCCGTCTGCAGCTGGTGCTGTCGGTCACCTGCGTGGCCAGCCTAGGGAAGTCCAGTGGCCTCCCCAGGAGCTTTCTGATTCCTCAGTTCAGATGTGGATTTCAGCCTCACCGAGGGGTATGCTGCGCTGCAGGGCAGTGTTCTCCCCGAGTGCCCTTTCTCTTCCTCCAGGCAGCCCTCGGGGACTCCCCACACGCCACGCAGGGGAGCCCTGCCTTCTCATTGCGGAAACCACCCCACGACCAGGCCCTTTGGAGCGTTTCCTCGTTAAAGACGCCCATATGGCACCCCAGAGGATCTTTCTGTATAAAGAGTTCCACTCTGTAGAAACGATTTGATGTCAGATTTCTGATATGCTGCCTAACTTTTCAGATTCACATGAGGGAAGAGCTGCCTTAGCTCAGAGTTTCTCCCTTTCAACTCTTAATTAGTGAAGTGAAGGGAATATAAAGTCGTGTCTGACTCTTTGAGACCCCATGGACTGTAGCCCACCAGGCTTCTCTGTCCATGAGATTCTCCAGGCAAGAATACTGAGTGGGTTGCCGTTCCCTTCTCCGGGGGATCTTCCTGACCCACGGACTGAACCTGGGTGTCCTGCATTGCAGGTGGATTCCTTACTGCCTGAGCCAGCAGGGAAGCCCTCAACTCTTCAGTGGGTGAAAGGCAAATCAGCAGAAACAGTCACCTTTTGTTTCCACTTTTTACTTTCCTTTGTTGTTTTGTTAATAAAAATAATGGGCTCACTATGAAAATCACTAAGTGAAGGAAAATGGAAGAATATAAAATCCCGCAGTTACTTGGTACTCTGTTAACAAGTATTTCTCTCTACCTATCGTTTTTATGCATAATTGGATCATACTCTATATGCCATTTAGTATCTTGTTTCCCCCCATCTAAAAACTCTTGGTCAAATAATTTTAATTATCGGCATAATATTTTATATTAAAATTTGGGGGGTTTAAAAACACCATTCCTCATACCTTTTGCAGGGTCAGCTTTATTAAGATTCAATTTACATACAGTAAAAGTCATTACTTTGAGGTGTGCAGGCTGATGAGTTTTGACAAATGTGTACAGTCATATAAGCATCACTGTGCTCAAGAAATAAAACAGTTATTCCAGAAGATTCCCTCGTGCCCCTTTGCAGTCAGCCCCTCCCCGTCCTTAGATCCTGGCAGCCACCTATCTGCTTTCTGTCACTGTAATTTTGCCTTTTCCGAGGGTCACTTAAATGGAATCATTCAATAAGGAACCCCTTGGGTCTTGCCCTTAGCGTAACGCCTTTGACGTTTGTCTGTGTTGTTGCCCACGTCACTGGTTCATCCCCTCCTCCTGTGGAGTAACAGTCCACTTTTCAGACGTGTCGCTGTTTATCCATTTTGCCTTTTGGCATTTAGGTTGTTAGCGGCTGAGAATCTAGCAGATATAAACATTCTGTGTACGCTTTTATGTGAACTAAGTGTTCGTTTCTTTGGACTAAACACCTGAGGGTGGAGTCACTGTGTCACGTGGTAAGCGTGTGTTTGGTTTTATAAGAACCTGGCACACTCTTCTCTGGAGGACCAGGGCTCAGCGGTGACCTTTGTCGCCCTTCCGTGATGTGGACTGGCATCTCCTTACGGCTCTGGTTTGAACTTCCCTAATGACTAACAGTGTTAAATATCTTTGTTTGTGATTATTTGTCCATTTAAATATCTTCTTTGGTGAAATGAGTGTTTAAATCTTTTGCCTATTTTTTCATTGGGTTGTTTTATTGAATTTTGAGAGTTCTTATGGATTCAGGATACAAGTCCTGTTGAGTGTTTTACAAATTCTTCTGAACAGTGCTTCTCATTCTCTTAACAGTACCTTTCAATAGTAGATGTTTTACATTTTAATGGAATCCAGTTTTTCATTTTTTTCCCTTGAATTATGCCTTTGGTGTCATATGTGAGAAAGCTTTGCTTTGCTCAAGATTGCAGAGTTCTCCTCCTAGGTTTTCTTCTAGAAGTTTTCCAGTTTCAGGCTTTACATTTCAATGTACCATCCATTTTGAGTTCACCTTTGTATATGATGCAAGGTACAGTCTATCATAGCAGGAGACAGATGTCCTGAAGTTTCTGTTGAAAAAGAAAAGTTGTTTCTGAGTACTTCTTTGCATTCTACTTACCACACAGGGCCGTGAAAAGCAAGTTCCCTGGAAAACTGACCATAGCTTCTTATCCATTAGCTTTGAGATGGATCCTTCAACGGTCTACAGCTCTCCCTTTCTGGAAGGGGCTAGAATGAGCGCCAGCACTAACTTTCAGCTCCCCTCTGGTCTGGGTCTCTCTTAGTTGGTTCACAAAATTCTGGTTGCTCTGTACACATCATTCTTTCTCAGCAGCTGCACATTTTAGGCAGCTCTCTTTGACTGCAGGCTGTTGGCTTCCCCGGGAAGTGACCACATCAGTGTTGGGTCACCTTATCCACAAGGAGAAGGGGCTAACGAGCATTCAGAACTGGCTCTGTGCCGGGAGCATAACTGAGTCAGGGAAATCCTCTGAGGCCCAGAGTAGCATCGTGTGCACCTTACAGGTACAGTGGTGAGAGTTGCTCAGGGTCTTCCAGCTACTGAGACAGTCCCGTCACACTTGCCTCTCTCCCTAGTTTTGCTCATCCCCTTGTTCCTCACTTGCTCTTCGCAGAGTCACTCCTGTGTAGTTTCTTTTTGTTTATTTGTTTTTGGCTGCATCCGGTCTTGGTTGCAGCGCTCAGGATCTTCCTTGTGCTGCAGGCTCAGTAGTTGCAGAGCTCGGGCTTAGTTGGAATTGAACCTGTGTTCCCTGCATTGCAAGGTGGATTCTTAACCACCAGGCCACCAGGGAAGTCCTACTTCTGTGTGTGGGGCGGCGGGCCACCAGACTCACATATACTCCCATCCAGGTGAGGGCGGGTGCTATGGTAATAAGGATGACAGCGCAGTTGCTTTTAGCCATTTATCTTTTTCCCTCTCAGTGTTATTTCAGTGCCCCCCACATTTGGCCTGTGGCTTTTACCTTTAGAATATCCGGTTGGCTGCTGTGTTCTCTCTTTGATACGCGAGTTATAAAAATGCCCTCACTGATGTCAGTTTTCCTCCCTGCCATTAAGTGCCGTGTGACTGGGTGGTTGAGAAGGGGGTCAGGCTAGTTTAATCTTATCCTGGGCCGTCTGCAGAATTTAGTTGTTCCCTGGAGGGGACTGTGTGTGTTCTGCTTTGTTTTTCAATAACCCTTATTCCTTTTCTTTCCTTTTTAAGTTTTATGTGTTTATTTTTGGCCACACTGGGTCTTCGTTGCTGTGCAGGGGCTTTCTTCAGTTGCAGCGAGCGGTGGGCGACTCTCTAGTTGCAGTGTGAGGGCTTCTCAATGCAGTGGCTTCTCGTCTCGCAGAGCACAGGCCCTAGGGCACGCATGCTCAGAAGTTGCAGCTCATGGGCATAGTTGCCCCACAGCATATGGAATCTTCTTGGACCAGGGATCAAACCCACGTCCCCCACATTGGCAGGCAGATTCTTAACCACTGGCCCACCAGGGAAGGCCCACCGTTATTCCTTTTCTAACTGGATCATGGGAATCGGTCACGGGGACCATCTCCTTCTCACCTTCAGTTCTCTGGAGCAGTCCCGGGACACGCATGTTCCACGCAGCCGTGAGACTCCCGACAGAACACTTCAGATGACGTCCCCTCCTGCTCTTCTCATCCTGCCTCTCTGGGTTTTATCTCAGTAAAGGAGGAGGGGGCGGATTCTCATGCCAGCAGAAATCCTCGTGTTGTCTCACATGTTTGGACCTGGTTACCTTTAGGCCCTCCTGTCATGGGCAGTAACCACCCTCAGCTGAACAAGTGTCCCTCTGTTTTTGAACGTTGCTCTCCGCTTCAGGCATCATCACTGACCTCTCCCCTTTTTCAGTCTTGGACTGTTAGCTGGGGCTGGCTTTGCCTGTTTCCCTGCCAGCCGTACCTTAGGGCTTAAATAATGCATGCTATCCTGAGTATGGGAGCGCCTGGCCGGCCTCATTTTCCATCGTGAACATGCCGTGTCTGACTTAGTTCCCGTGTACCTGGCTGTGGACATAGGTGGTCCAAGCAGTGTCCCAATGGTGCTGGTGCTGTTGCCGAAAGTTTCCGAATGAAGAAGGGCTTGTAACTTTGGGGTGAAACTGTGTGTAACACATGAGGCTCCTTTAGGCCACGAAGACCGTAGCCAGTGTTGCTGAAATAGGGAAGAGCTACAAGCTGCTTTTGCAGATTTCTTTTGGGATGTCTGAACCCCCACTGGTCAGCTTCCCTCTAGCCACTGTCTAGCCACCCGCCCCTGAGACTTCTCGTCTGGGTAACAGTCACTGCAGCACAGAGAAACTCAGCCTCCTGGGCCTTTGGCAGGGGTCTCGGTTCTGGGGGGATCTGGACCCCCATCTCAGCCACCCCCTGTAAAATAGGCACATTAGTGCCACTAAACTGGGCTTTTATGAAGATTAAATGAACTAAGTGCCTGGCATGCTGGCTAGCAAAGAATACAGGACTGTGTGCTCACTGGAGGATGCTTAACTCCTGTGAAGTCAGTACAGACGCCCAGGCAGGAGGCACTCCCTGGGTCCCGTGGTGATATTTCTGCAGCATGGCCTTCGTATGCCAGGCACCGCTCTCCAGCGACAAGACCATCCCAGCCCTGGCCCTGGTCAGCGCTGTCCGGGCAGCTCTTTCTTTCCCCTGCCCAAGGCAGCCCTCTCTTTATTCACCTTCTTTTGTCCTCTCCCACCAGGAAGCATCTCAGACAGCTCGGCCAAGCTCTTCGAAGTCCCCGACACGTGGTAACCAAGACGGGAGTGGAACAACCCCGCTGGTGCTGTTGCCAAGAAGGAAAGAAGCAGCTGGCACGTTTGCAAGCCATACCGCGTCTCACTGAATCCACTGTGGCGTGGGAGGAGCCTGAAACCAAGTGTGTCTCCTGAAAAAACCCCAGTTTTTATTTTCAAGGCTGTGTTCCTTCCTCCTCAGCCTCACGTGTGCTGGCGCTCAGCGTGTTGTCGACTGTGTCGTGTGTTCATGATTCACCAGGTCATTAAGGTCATTATTTGTTGCTTGTGTGAAACCCACCAGTCACAGATCTGTGTGTGAGAACCCACCCAAAGGGGAAGACCAACCGTGAGACCTGCAGAAAGAGCTGACGCTCTTGTGTGCTGTGACCATGAATTTGGGGTTGAACCTCTCGAGAGGTTCACGCTCAGGCCTGGGGGCAGCCCCAGGGTGTGGTACGGCCTCCCATGAAGACTTCGGTTGTGTCTGCCTGCTTCTCATTATTGCTGCCTGAAACCACGAAACTCCCAAGCTTGTTTTCCTGGTAGGAAGTTGTCTACCACCATCAACACATGCCTTGACCTTTGGGGCATATTTATTTAGAGGTTTTTTGTTTTTTTTCCCCTAAGATGTGAGTTTCTCATGGTGGGGTGTACAAGTAAAAAGTTAATTTCTGTTTTCCCAGGTAGCGCTGCATTCCATGTCTTAGCCCAGTGTCTTGTCTGTTTGGTGGTATCTGGGGGTAAGGTGACAAGTATGCGTACGTGTGCATGTGTGTGAAATCATAACAAATCAACACCGTGTACCAGCCCTTTCTCTGTTGAAACAGATCACAACAGCGACAGAATCCCGTGGATCTGCTTCCTACAGATCATTGTTAGATATTTAACATTTTTGTATCATGGAAATAAAAAAAAAATGAAAAATGTATTTCCGAAAGATGAAAATTAAAGAGATTTTCTTAGGATTCTGGGTTTTTTCTTTTCTCGTCTTTTGTAAGTAAATGCCATACTTAATCTCTATATAAATGTATTTCTCTTTAAAGATCACCCCAGAAAAAGCTCTGCAAAGTCAGTAAGCCTGGTATTTTTTTTCTTCTTTTCTCTCTCTCCTAACCTCTAACCCCTTAGAGCTGCCTTGATGAGTCAGGCACCTGGTGCTGGAGGGGAGCCGGTGGTCAGCGGTGTCAGGGCTGCGTCTTCATGGTGGGAAAGTTCTGAGCAGAGTCCAAGGTCTTGAGGGAATTCAGATTTGTAAGACACTTTCCCCGGTTAAGGGCCTCTTGACATGTCCCAGTTGCCCGAGAGTTTGATAGCCCCCAAGTTGCAAACCCAGGCTTCCCTGCTCCTCGACGCTGTCACTGTGCACAGCCCGCTGGGCGAGCGTGGCAGGAGGGTGAGGAGAGACAGAGGAGCACCTCCAGGAGGATGTAGAGGTGCTGCTGGAGCCCGCTGAGGCGCTACAGCCCACGGTGGAGACAGGCGCACCTGACACTTCTCGAAACAGTGCGAACAACAGGGCCGACCAGCGCAGGGGGGCGGTTGGTGTGCGTATGGACGTACTTCCGGCCTGATGGGCCGCCTAGCGTGGAGACGCCGAGCGTGGGGTCCCTGACGACCTTTACACTGTGCAAGGCCTCGGAGGGAGAGACGGAGGACTGTTGTTCTCAGGTATGAGATTCGTCACTGTCACCTGACGCCCAGTTTTTCCTGTCAAAAAGTGTCACAGACACACAGCTTGTGGTCCAGAAGGGTTTGGGGAGGTGCTCTCTAGAAAGGGCTTCTGCCCTAGAGCCTCACGGGATATGCCTGCATCCATGCTGTGTGTTCCCGGGTATATTATTTACCCTCTCTGAGCCTCGGTTTCCTCAATCTTAAAAGCAGGGTTATACTATTAACCTACTTTACATGGTGGTGGTGAGGCTTAAATGGAATCATGTCAAACACCCAGCACTCACATGAGTGCACAGTGAGTTGTAGTGATACTTGTAGACGCTTTTGATCTGAAACCCTGGTTGGAGTTGACAGGCATGATGGGGGCAGGGGGAGGGGTTACATTAGCATTAAATACCCAGCTAAGCCCTGGTGTGTGTCCAGACCCCTGTTTTCCCAACAGGTGAACTAGGTTGGCCCTCCTGCCTACACGCACACACACACACACACGCTTTCTCCATGTCTTTTCTGGGTTTGAAACCCTAGGATGGCTGCCTTGGCTTTTCCATGCTGAGACTTGGCTGTGTTATGATAATGGGGCTGTGGTTCTGGGGTTTCTTTTTTTTTCCCCATGCAGTGTGACTTGCAGGATCTTAGTTCCATGCAGGGATTGAACCTGTGCCCCTGCAGTGGAAGCACGAAATCTTAAGCTCTGGACTGCCAGGGAAGTCCCTAGGGTCTCTCTTCTCTCTTCCTTGGTTGTGCTGGGCCTTTGTTGTTCTGTGCGAGTTTTCTCTAGTTGTGAGTGGAGGCTGCTTATTGCGGAGCAGAGGCTTGAGGTGCCAAGTCTCAGTAGTTGTGGCTCACGGGTTTAGTTGCCCGGCTGGCATGTGAAATCTTCCCAGACCAGGGATCGAACCTGTGTCCCCTCAATTGGCAGGCAGACTCTTAACCACTGAACCACCAAGTCCTGTGGTTTAAATTCTGTAACCAAATCTGGAGGCAGATGTGGAAGTGGGGACCTCAGTGTTTCCCTTCAAGTCCTTTTGTAGTTCTTTGATTTTAGAGTTGGGGTGGAGATTGAGTACTGCAGCTCTATTTTCTTATAGCTTTGTATTTGTCCAGTTCCCCCCCTACCAAAATCGTATTATGAAAATTTTCAAGCATACAAAGAAGTAGAAAGAATTGTTCAGCGAAAACCAATTTCCTCCCCACCTAGACTGTACAACTGCCATTTTGCTGTATTTACTTTATTACATAACCATTCAGCCATGCTTCCCTCCATCAATCCATCTTAGTTTCAAAAGCATTTCTAAGTAAGTTGCAAGCATCAGAACACTTCCCATCCCAAATCTTTGAGCATGCTTGTCATGAACCAGAGTTTCTGTGTTTATAGCCAGTGGGGATAAAATTTTTAGTGACATGATCAAATCTTAAGTGTGCCTACCTTCTGATAGATTCTAACAAATGCAACACAATCTATCAAGACACAGAACATCACCATTACCCCCAGAATATTCCTTTTTGCCACTTTCCAGTCCCCCGCTACCCCACTCCCATCCCCAGAGGTTACCACTGGTCTGAACTTTCTCAACACAGATTAGTCTTAACCTGTTCTAGAACTTCATGAATCATGAAGTCATGCTTCTTGATGTGAAGCCTCTTTCATTCTGCATAATGTTTTTGATGTTCATCTGTGTCTCACCCTGTGTATCCTTTTTTTACCACTGAGTACGCACATATCACAGTCTACATCCATTCACGATAGAGAAATGCTTGGGCTGTTTACACTTTGGGGCTATGATGAATAAAGCTTCTGTGAACCTTCTAGTACAAGTCTTCTTGAGAACAGAAGCTTTCATTTTGGAGGGTAAATAGGAAGGAGTGGAATTGCTAGATCAGTGATGCTCAGTTTTATAAGAAACTTCCATATCACCTCCCAAAGTGGATGTATCATTTAGATTCACCAGTAGCTCTCATCCTTGGCAGCATTTGGCATTGTTGGTCTTCAGCCCTATAGTATATCTCCCTGCAGTTTTTATTTGCATTTCCCTGTTGACTAATGATGAGGTATTTTTCGGCCATTTGTATATATTAAATATTCCTCTGTGAAGTATCTGCTCAACTCTCTTGCCTATATTTTGTCAAGTTGTAAGTCTTTCTGCTAGTAAGTTATAGATGTTCATTATGTATTCTGGACATTCGTGCTTTGTCAGATAGTTTTGTACATGATTAGTCCCAGTCTTGGCTTGCTTGTTTCTTTTCTTCCTTTTTCCCTGCCCCTTCCTTTCTTTTCAGTTTTACTGAGTTGCAGTTGTGCAACTGTGTAAACGTATGGTGTACAATATGTTGACTTGGTGCACTCAAACATAGCAAAATGATCACCACATCAGTTTTTGTGGTGAGAACATTCAGGATCCGCTCCACCAGCAACTTGACTGTTTTTTTTTAATTGAATAAATTGAATGCTGACTGACTTACAGTATTTTATTATTTTCAGGTGTGCAACATAGTGATTCAATACCTTTATGTATTACAAAGTGATCACCATGCCAAGTCTAGTTACCATCTGTTGTCAAAGTTATTACATTATTAACTGTATTCCCCAGGCTCTACATTACATCCCTGTTATTTTATTTTATAACTGGAAGTTTGCCTCTCAGTCTCCCTCACCTGTTTCACTTATCTTCCCAACAACCTGTTTGCTTAAAAATATATCTTACTGGGCAGAAGTTTTTCATTTTGATAATTATCAACTTTATAATTTCAAGGTTTAAAAGATACTCTTTTGCATTTCTTCTAGAAGCTTTGTAGTTCTAGTGTTCATGTTCAAGTCTGCTTGAATGAGTATTTTGGTATTTGGCGTGAGATGGGAGTTGAGGTTCCCTAATTCCATGTGGACATCCAGTTTTTCCACCTGCATTTGTCGAGAAGAACGTTCCAAGTATGTTGCTTTTGTTGTTGTTACTGTTTAGTCGCTGAGTCATGTCCAACTCTTCTTTGACCCCATGAACTGTAGCCCACCAGGCTCCTCTGTCCATGGGATTTCCCAGGCAAGAATACTGGAGTGGGTAGCCATTTCCTTCTCCAGGGGATCTTCCCGACCCAGGGGTCAAACCCATGTCTCCTGCATTGCAGGCAGATTCTTTACCACTGAGCCAGCCCACCTTGCTAAGAAACCTGTCGCTATAATAACTGGAATGGGTCTTGAGTGTTATTTTAAAAGTGGGCTGTTATTATTGCTGAAAAGGACAACAGCACAGAGAGGCACCATTCCTGTCTGTGAGGTTCCCACTTAGACAGTTTTGCAGCCCTGTCTCAATGGTGAGAGGGAAATGCCATGACCCTGGGTTACTGCTGAGGCTG